CTTTATATATATATATATATATATATATATATATATATATATAGCTACAATCTTGATCGGTAAACATGGTTTATGATTGTTGTACCTATTTTAGAAATTTGCCTTTTATCATTACATAATATCAATATTTATCCTATTTGTTCCAATATTAATATTGAACTTAATATTAATAAGACATGACTTCTCTTAGTTTATATTTATCTCACTGTATCTGTTTTTAAAATTGAGTTTAGTGAGAGAGAGGAAGGGGGAGAGAGGTGAGTAGAGAGAAACATCGATTTGTTGTTCCACTTACCATTGGTTGATTCTTGTTGTTCCACTTACNTTTAACTCTAAAACATTGTGATTATCATAGGATATTATAGTCAGCGATTAGACTCAGTAACCAAAGGGCTCCCTCCCTACATGATAGCCATCTGCCATAGACATGTTATGCAAACAAACAGAAAAGATAGTTATGGGCTCTCCTTTGTTTATGTTCCTCATTCTGTTGAATCTCCTCTGAATTCTCATCACACTCAGCACTTCTGTCAGTCGACTGGCTCTTGATTTCTGCACCTAATATTACTTTAACTCGATGTAACAGTCTTCACCCAGCAACTTTGCTACCTTTTTTGCAGAATGAAGACATCCATGATTGTGTTTTGCTTACTGACCACCTTCTTGTTCCAAGGAATGGTTTACAGGAAACTCTTATTGGTAATGCTAGCTTAATTTGGTTTACAGATATATCTTTGCAAGATGAACAGGAATGTTACCAAGCTGAATATGCAGTAACTTCCACAGTAACTCAGTCTTGTCAACTGACCAAAAATCAAATAGTCAGTATTTGCACTAATAGAAGCTATGCCCTTGGTATAGCTCACAACTCCAGAATGGTGTGGAAGCAGCGAGGCTTCTTAACTGTCTCAGGGCAGTGAGATTTTGCTTCCCAGCAATTGTCATCAGTTTGGCTCAAACAAACTCATAAAAATTCTCACAGGCCTGGACATTTCTTACGTTGATAATAATAAAGCATTTAAGGCTATAAATTCCCACTTGGGATAGTTTAAGCTGTGTTGTGTATGTTTTGTTATGAAGTTTTCTGCAGCATTCTTTTGTAGGGGTTGGTAATTACTGTTCTTTTTACATTTTGATGAAAGGTTATTTAGAATGTTGTTTCTTAATTTCTAAGTAATTAAAGAAGATTTTTTGTGGTATCACCTTTTCATTATTTGTTTCTTTTAAAAAAATTATTACAATTAGGAAGTGTAGCCTATAAAACCTCAACTTTTGTGAGTTAGTTTAGAGGTCCTAGATATTCTTTGGGACCAAATACAAGATTAACTTTTGTAAATGTTCCATTAAAATACAAAAGAAATCGTTATGAGATAGTTACATAATTCCATACGTCTCTTAGGTCAAGTTTCTTGGTTGTTTTCTATTCTGTTCCTCTGTTCCTATTTATTTATTTTGTCTGCTAGATTTGTCTGATTCTGGAAAAGGTATATTATAATCTCCTATTATAATTGTACTTTTACTACATTCTCTTAAGAGTTTTTGCTTTATATATATATATATA